CTGTGTTGGGCAAGCTGAAAGAGCCCTATTGCTTTCTGTTATCTGAGACACCCACGCGGGGCTTATATTTCTGGAAAACAAGTCCCAAAGTCCTTCTCAGCCTCCTGCACATCCGGCCTTCCCTGTGGTGCCCAGGAGGACCTTTGCCAACCCCCTCTCTCTTCCTCGCCCAGAGAGGGTCACTGATACCATGTCTTGGGGAAGAAGAAAAAGAAGATGGGCCTGGGACATAGTGTCACTGCTAGAAAACAAACGTGTGCTTTCCAAGATGTCAGCCAGGGTTCTGGAAAGAAGAGAGATAAATGAAAGGGACTCCTTATTCCCAAAATGTGAACATCCGCAAGGAAATACTTATTATCATTAAACAGGACAGGGGTTGAGCCTCATAAAAGGTGAAAGTCCATAATAGCCATACATTCAAAAGGGTAAAGTTAAAATAAAGTGTGTAAATAATAGTGACAATAAAAACATTACTTTTATTCATTCTAACTAGTAGGGGAGGAAGCAACAGCTGGGTGGTCTATTCCTTCTATTAATAGTAACTGTATTGTCAGTTTTAAAGCAAAGAGTTGCCTTCTTTTTCTCCAGGTGAGGGTGGAGAGTAAAATGAGAAGCTGGGAATAAGTCAGATAGTTCCAGAAAAAGCAAGAATTGAGCCGCACTCACAGGAAGCAGCCGTGGAGGTGGGGCACAGAAGGTCTGCAAGGGTGTTGCAAGCTGGTAGAGTTGCGAGATGCCAGGATGAGGAGAGCTAATGATGCAAACTCAGTCCATCTCCTGGAATCAAAAACCTGGACCACACAACTAACCCTGCTAATGTAAATGACCTATGAGAAGACAGACATGGTGCCAGGTCTGCTAATAGAGCAGGCCTTTCACACACCCCACCAGTTTCCCTACATTTAAGCCTCATGACAATTGCTCTAAGTATGCCCATTTAACAGAGGAGGAAACTGAGGCTCAGAGAGTTGAGATGAGTTCCTCCTCTAAGTCTAGGTCCCCCTGGTTCCAACCACTCCTCACCCAACTTGGCCCTCTGCCCCTCACAGGTGCTCAGAAAGATGTAATTGCACCTGGCCCTGTAACTTAAGGGAGCAAAATGAGCCCAGCCCCCATGAGAGGGGATTGCTGGCCTTTAGGCAGAAGCTGGAATCTGAAGAGATGTCCCTGGGCAAATGCGCTACCCGCCCCCCCAAATCGTTCTCCTGCTCAGATCCTGGGATTCATCTGAAAGGTTTTCTGGGCTCAGAATATCAAAGATAAAACATGTTTGGCATTGATTTAGGGCCCATCTGTGCCTGAGACTGCCCTCGGTTTTGTGTATTATCATCACACTGGCTCTTCACAGTCCTGGTAGAAGTGGTCATTCTTATTCCCCAACTCACAGAAGAGGAAATGGAGGTGCAGAGAGGTTAATTAGCTAAGATCTCATCAGAGAGTGGTGGAGTGAAGGCTTAAATCCAGGTGCTCAGCCCCCCAGCCCATGCCTGAGCCACTAAGCCACACTGCCCCGTGAAGAAGGGAGCTGGTGCCTGGAAGGGGGCTCCCATAGTGAGTATCGGGGGTACACTGATGTGTCTGTGTGTGTGCCTGGGGCAGTCGGTGTAGGCTGGGTCCCGCACTCTCTGGGAAACTCTGCCAACAGATGTAGCATCCCTGAAGTGCTCCATCACTCTCTGGACCAAGCAGGGCCTCTGGTCCTTCATCTACTTGATCTATACTCCTCCCCTCCCTCCCTTCCTGCTGCAGACTCCACACTTCACTCTCAGGTTTCTTTCCAGCCCTCTCCCATATCTAGGCAGGATTATGGGGGACAGGGTCTCCCCAGACTCCCCTAATTCACAGCCAGCCCACAGCATCTTTCTAGGATACACTCACTCCCAGGGAATCAGTCCAGGTACAACCATCAACAGTTCCAGAAGTAACCAAGTGGACAGGACTTTCTCCAGCTTGGCTTCTGATTTGTGATTGGAAAAAGGCCACTGGGTGGACCCACACCAGGCATTCTGTGCTTGCCCATTTTCCCAGATCATCCCACCCCTTCTTCCCAGGATGCATGTCCAGAGGAGCTCTCTGCAGCGTGAAATCCTAGAGAAGTGGGCAGTGTGAGGATGGAGAGATGAGGAAGGGGTGAGCATGGAGCCCTGGACTCAGAAGGAACAGGTCCCAACCCAGAGCCCCTCATTGCTCCCAGGCCCTGCCCCACGCCCTTTCTTCACTCCTCCTCCAAGTGCCCCAGTCCCCCCTGATGTCTTACATCCCTTCTTCCCGTAGCCAGCGTCTGTGACACACCCTCCCCCCCAAACACAGCCCATCTCAGTCTCTGCGGGGCTCCCCTTGTGCATTTCAGAGGTGGCTCAGGCCACCTCCCTCCACAGGTGGCCCTGGAAACCTGCCAAGATGTTGATGCCCGGCTCTGGGCCAAAAGGAGACACCTGTCATCCCCATTAATCCGCTGCCAGGTGTGACAAGCCCGCTTACAGAAGCTCAGAGGCACTGGGTGATTCATCCTGGGTCACACAGCCAGACACAGCAGGGCTAACAGGTGACACACAGGACTACTGCCTGGGCTGGGAAGAGCTTTCTGGCATCTGCCTGGCTCCTGGCAGCTTTGTGCAAGGCAGCTTCCTGCCCAGGGTCCCCACCCCTTCCAGACCTGCTGCCTGAACCACCCAGAAGCTCCTTCCTCCTGCGCTGGCAGAGCCTGGGTGCCGCGCTCAGGGCACACACGGTCTCCAGGAGCCCCGGGGGAAGAGGAGATCCTCCTGCCACAAGAGCCGGGTATTGAAGGTAAGGGGGATGGAGGGGGGCGCCTTCCCACCTGCCCCAGACCACCAGGCTGAAAGGCAGTAAGCGTGGCAACTGCCTGGACGCTTGCCTATGCCCATTCAGTGAGAGAGCTGGGAGGGGCAGCCAGGCGTGGAGGGAGGCCGTGGTACAGATGGGGAAACTGAGGCACGGGGAGGGGAAGAAGAAATGTCCAGGAGGGACGGAGGGCAGATGGAAGACAGTCTCATCACACCCTATGTCTTCAAGCTGTGGGTAGGCGCAGAGCCCTGGGTAAGAAACCCCTTCAGCCAGCTCAGGGGAGAGAGTCAGGGTTCTGGAGCCAGCTTGTGGGATCCAGGAGTCCGGAGGGATGGGAGCGGAGAGTCCTTCCCTCCCTGAGCTCGTTTCTGCTCCTATATGGAGGGTGGTACACATTCCCCTCACAGGGACACTGAGGGGGCTGAGTAAGGGAAGCCTGGAGGGAAGCTCCTGGAACGCTCCCCTCATCCCCAGACCACCCACCCAGAATCACAACAGGCAGACCCACAGGCACAGGGCTCCCCACGTGCCCCCGACTCTGGACTCCGAGCTCTGAAACTGCAGTGAGGTAGGAGCTTCACATCCCCATTTTACAGATGGGGAAACTGAGGCAGGAGGCGGTTAAACGACTCACCTGAGACCTCACAGCCAGTGAGTGGGGATGCTGGGTTCCCTGGTCTAAACCTGAGTGCTAGAGGGACCTACAGGCTATTCGCCAGGCACAGTCCCGTAGCTGGGGCCAGGGGACGAGGGGAGGACAAAGACACACTTGTCCACTGGCTCAACAAATACAGAGTGTACATGGCGTGCCAAGGGAGTGTAGGGCGGCGCACACAGCATCATGCCACCTGCCTTAGGCTTCTAAATGGACTCTAACCCACTGAAAAGCCTAAGGCAGGTGGCATCACACTATGAGCGCTGCCCCAGTAGGGCCCTACTGGCCTCAATCCCTAACCCTAGCCACCCTGGCCACCACCAGTGCCCCCAAAAGCCTGCCACAGCTCCTGGATGGGGCCACAGGTCCCAGGAAAATTCAGGCAGCCTGTGGGTCGAGTTAGCTGGCCGGAAGCCAGGTCCAGCGGAAAACAGAAACAGGCCTGAGGCTGGCCAGGAATCGCACCTCCTCCTACCTGGAGAAGCTTGGTGAGCAGGTGTGAGCAGAGGGCTGTGCAGATCAAAATCAAGAGCCTAGTGTATGCCTGGTGCTTTACATAAGTGATTTCCATATCCCTGACAATGAGCTGGAAAGTGGGACCTCCAAGGCCTTAGGATGCAAATGAAACTACCCCAGGTTTCAGAGAGATGTAGCAGCTTGCCTGAGGCCACACAACTCTTTGTAGATTTACTCTCTGAACCCCAGCCTGTGCCCACGCCACCCGATTCAGCCTTGGGTAGCTGTGTCAACGGCAGTCAGGCCCCATTTTCTTTCCAGGGAAGGCAAGAGAGGTTTCGTGTCTGCTTGGTGACTTTGGGTGGATGACCAGTTTTCCTATCTGCCAGCTGAGTTCATAACGCTCTCTACCCCTTGCATCTTCAGCAGTGGGCCTTTTTTTAATGTTCTTTTTTTTCTGTTTTTAATTTTTTTGGCTGTGCTGGATCTCTGCTCCTGCTTGAGGGCTTCCTCTAGTTGTGGCAAAGGGGCTACTCTCTAGTTGCGGTGCACGGGCTTCCCGTTGCAGTAGCTTCTCTGGTTATGGGCCACGGACTCTAGGGCACAGGCTCTAGCGGTTGCTGTATGGGCTTAGTTGCCCCACAGCATATGGGATCTCCCCTAACCAGGGATCGAACCCATGTCCCCTGCACTGGCAGGCAAATTCTTAACCACTGGACCACCAGGGAAGTCCCAGCAGTGGGCATTTCGAGGTGGCTCCACAAATGGTAGCTTTTGCTACTGATGGAGCAGCAACTGAGAGCTCCCCAGTGGATTGCAGGCCAGCAAAAGTCATGTCATCCCCCAGAAGGTTGGCATCAATGCCGACCAGCTTGGCCGCAGGATGCCGTGTTTTATGAGCTGGGCACAAAGACTCGGGGATATGGAGCACAAGGCTGCGTGCCGCCCAGAAGGCGCACCGACGGACAACGTGAGCAGGCAGTTCAGTGTCCAGCCAGTGGACTTAGTCCTTGTTTGTTCCTCTGATAACTGTGGTGACCTTGGTTAATGTTTACCAGCAGCCTCCCCCGTCTCCCCTCTGGGTCCAGTGCTTAAATACGGGCAAGGACAGGGCTCTGTCTCCTCAGCCTCAGTCACCAGCCCTGACCTGGGACAGTGAATCGTAAGTATGCCTTCCACAGGCCAGACGCTTCCGGGACCCTGCGCTACCCAGGCAGGCCTTGGGGATGCAAGGAGGATGGAGCAGGCTGGGGCCGGGCAGCCTGTTGTCATAGTAACAGCAGCCCTAGAGGTCCTTTCCTGCTCCCCAAGCCTGTCCAGGGCCCACCAGTTCCTCCCGGTGACTAAAGTGGCCCTCTGTGAGCGGAAGTGGAAGTGAGGGGGTGGGGGCTGGCTCTGGCATCCAGCCACCTAGGAGGGAATATATTTCTGCTGGCACAGCTCCTGTGTCTTTCCCGTCGGTGGTCTTCTGTAGGTCTCGCTGCCTCTGCATTTGCTCGAGTGTGTATCTTTTCCTGCTTCTACAGATGAGAACGATAAGGCTCAGGGAGGGACAGTGAGTGGCCCAGGCTCACAGAGCAACCTGGTAGGGAAGCCAGTTCAGACCAGAAGCTCTGAGTTTCAGCTGTTCATCATGCCTCCATCCTCTGCAGAAGTGCCCAGAACCAAACCGCACCAGGTCTCAGCCTGGAGTTACCAAAGCGGGCCCCTCTGTGCACAGCGGGCCTCTGGCCATCCTTGTGTGCAGCGGAAGATGGGGAGCTGGGGAGGGCACTGTCCTGGGGGGTGGGCTGTGAGCTGTATTCCTGAGCCCCCACTCTGGACAGCCAGCCTCTATTTAAGCCTCATGGCAATCCTCTGAGGTAGTTACCGTGGCATTCCCATTTGACAGATGAGGACTTCTGGGACAGGGAGGTTCATCCCTTGCCCCCAGTTACACACCATCTAGGATTCAAGCTTAGGCTGAATCCCTTCCAGAATCCCCACTTCTGCCCTCACCCCCACTGCCAAATCATTGCTTCGGGTCTCAGGCACCAGCTGGGGAATGGGAAGCTTGGGCTAGCTTTGAGTCACCTCTGATGCTGGGTGACCTTGGACAGTTGCTCATCCTCTCTGCCCTTTTGGGCAAAACAGATAACCTTGGCCCTCCTGCCCCTACCCTACTCCCACCGGCTTTGATCTCTGGACTTTAGAGGTTATGATTTTTCCATCACTGGTATTTGGAGATGGAGTACAAAACTGACTCAGGCCAAGGCAACCAGACTCTTTTAGAGGATCCTGAAAGAACCACAGTGTCAATAACAACTGATGCTTCCTGAGAACTGTCAGCGTGCCAGGCATTTCTTGGCACTTTGCACCTATTTCATTTGCATAATAGTCTTTAGGGGAAGTACACCCATATCATCACTGGGAAACTGAGGTTCAGAGAGGCTGAGTATCTAGTCCAAGGTCACAGAACTGATAACGAATTGAGCGTGGGCATTCTGACCTCATACTCTAATCTTAGCCACAAAGTGACGTTGCCCGTCTTCGTTCAGCCAGACCACCTCTGAGGTTTTCTGTTCTGAAGCCTCTGCCTTCAGCTTTGTACACAGAGAAGGGCTAAATGCCAAATTCAGGAATCAAAACACCTAGGACTAAATTCGGTTCTGTGGAGACTTCCCTAGTGGTTCCGTGATTAAGACTCTCCACTTCCACTGAAGGAAACACAGGTTCGATTCCTGGTCAGGAAACCAAGATCCCACATGCTGCACGCCAAAAAAAATTAGTTCTGTAAGCCACCAGTTCAGTTCTGTGATTTTCAGTAATTTATTTAACTTCTACAGCCCTCAATTTCTCCATCTATGTTGTTATTCACTCGCTCAGGCAGGTCCAACTCTTTGTGATTCTGTAGGCTGCAGCATGCCAGGCTTCCCTGTCCTTCAACATCTCCTGGAGCTTCCTCAAACTTATCTCTATTGAGCTGGTGATGCCATCCAACCATTTCCTCCTCTGTCGTCCCCTTCTCCTCCTACCCTCAATCTTTCAGCATCAGGGTCTTTCCCAGTGAGTCAGTTCTCTGCATCAGGTGACCAAAGTATTGGAACTTCAGTTTCAGCATCAGTCCTTCCAATGAATATTCAGGACTGATTTCCTTTGGGATGGACTGTTTGGATCTCCTTGCTGTCTCCATCTATAAAATGGGGCTAATAATAATTCCCACCTCGCAGGGTAAGCTCTGAGGGAAGATGAGACAGTGCATGGATGCCTGCTTTCACTAAGTGAAACAAGGAGGGTGCTCACGCTGGCATTTGCTAAGAATAGGGTTTGGCAGCTAACAGTCAACAAATAAAGACCTGGAGAGTTGAACTGAACATTTTCTAAACTCAGAGGTCATTCTCTGCGAAGCAGGGTTCCCCTCTCCAGCTCTGAGCAGGGCTAACTGCCCTGGAAGAAATCTGCCAGTTCTCTAGTTTGAACCCTCCCTGGGCACAGCCAGGGCTTCCACACCTGCTAGATGCCCACTTACTCATCACCTTATCCATTCTTCACATCTGCCTTGCAAGAGATTCTTTTCTCCACTTACAGGAAGGTGAGGCTTGAAGAAGTGCAATCACCTGCCCAAGGCCACTTAGCTGCAAGTGGCGGGGCTGAGTCACCCTGGGCTTACCCAGGTGTCAGTAGGTTGTGACCTTAGGTCACAGTCACTTCCCTGAACCCACTGGGTCGCTCTTGGTCACTCGTTTTATGCCCTGGGGGGAAGAAATGGCATGAGATTAGGCAAAGGGGCAGCTCATTCACTGTCCCCGACCCACCACAGACTCTGGAAGTGTCATTGTGACATCTTCATTCTGTTGATTTGAAGTTTGGTCCCTATACCTCTGGGCAGTTCACCATTTCCTCTCTCATCTCTGGTTGGCTCCCCACCACCAGAATTTGGTGACTGGAGGGGAAAGGACTGCCTTTGATAGAAGGGAGAGGAGAGAGAGGTCTTGGGCCCCCAAAGTTCTAAGGAACAGACTGGGAGGCAAAAGGAAGCCAACAGAGTCTCAAGGCTGACATCAGAGTGTCTGGGACCTAATTCTGACACTCACTGAATTGAGCTGGGCACACACTGTCCCGCCTATAGTTCGAGAGGTGGGGAAACCAAGCCCTGCTCCAGCCAGCTTTGTGCCTGTCTCACTGTGTGGCCTTGGCAAGGCTCTGACCCCTTCCTGGCCTCAGACCGTTTATTGTAAGAGGAGGAAGCCAGAGGAGGTGATGTAACCCCCAGGCAGAAGGATGGGGTGGGGGCAGGGAGGTGCTCACCCCAGCTGTAGCCCTTCTTCCCCTCAGCCCCACACCAGCCTTGTTACCTTCTTAAGGCCAACATCCCTCTTGGCAGGAGGGCACCTCACCTGGCACCCCCATGGGAAGTTTCAGTCCACCTTGTTCCACCAAACCCAGATACCCCTCTAATTAAAATCCAGCATTGGTACACAGGGACCTCATTGAGGTCCCCCTTAACCTCAGTTTATACAGCTGGCAGAGTGAGGCCCCAAAACAAGTAAATGCTTGCCCAAGGCCAAGTGGACAGAGGTGGTCCTGTGCGGACGAGAAGCCACAGCCTCTGACTCTGAGGCCACTTGGCATATGTAGTGTCCCCACCGTGCAGAGTTCAAATCCCTCATCATCTCTCAGCCTTGCCAAGATGGGGAATTTCCATCAACCATGAAGGACCACACCAAAATCCAGTGGGGAGGTAGCAAGAAACCCAAGGGCGATGGAAATATACAGAATTAATCTCAGCACCATCTTCTGCTCTAAAACCACTGACTAGTTTATGAAAAATATAAACAGGTATTACATAATCTGTGGTCTCCTCTATTTGGGTTATTTAGAGGCCTGAAGCCCGGGGGGGGTGGGGGGGCAGAAAAATGGTAATGGAAAGAAACCAGTTTTGTGCTTCATCTTGCTGTTTATTGGAAAGGAACTTTTTAAAAGTCCAAGGGGGTAAATAAAACCCAGCATTCCTTCTTTCCAACTTTTTCACCTCGGGTGTTCATGGGGGGTGGAGGGAGCTCTGTGGGGGCAGAGCTGGTCCTGTGTTGCCGCAGGAGACGTTGACTTTGACGACCACTCGATGGAGCCTGACCTTGCCGGGTCAGCCACAGGCCTTGCCATTCCCTGCTGTCTGCCCCGACCAGCCGTGGAGCTCCTCTTCCTCCCAGTCATCCTCTGAGGGCTTCTGCTTGTCCATCTACCAGCCTCTCCTTCAAGGCCCTCTGCTGTCTCAGGTGCTTTCAACGAAAGGTGTGGCGTCTAGACTTAGTGAAGATCTTACTTTCAAAGGTCCCCCAAATCTGACTTTCTACCTGTGACACAATAAGGACCAGAGAGACTAAGCAACTCACCCAAGGTCACACAGCTGGTGGTGACAGAGACCTAGATCAGAACCCAGGTCTGTCTGAAAAGGAAAAGATGCTTTTCCAGCTCTTACCCACCCCACCTCCCGCACAAAGACAAACTCCACTTGGCTGGAGGAGCCAGGGCCTTCAGCACCCACAGGCATGCTGAGCACAGAGCTGGGACACAGGAGGCAAGCAGGGTGGGTAGCTAAGCCGACCGTCAGCACAGTCCTGTGACTGAGGCCACAGATTCACTGTGAGGGCGGCCCTCCAGCTCAGGAAAATCTACCAGGGGCTGAGGTTCACTGTGAGTGTTGGGGTCCAGTGGGTCATTAGCCATTTCCTGTCCCTCAGTTTCCTCTTCCCAAAATAAGGCCAGTGGCACTTACATCTTGGGGTCATTATGGATGTTAGCGGAACCATCCAGAGTGTGGACTCCAGACCCAGATGACCTGGGAGTGCGATTCTGATTCTGCTACTTGACTGTCCTGGAACCTTGGACAAGTGACTTAACCTCTAGGAGCTTGGTCTCCTCATCTGTAAGCCCAGGGGTGTCGCATGACCTAGGTCATAGGACTGTTACCAGAACATGGTGAGATAAGACAGTAAAGAGCTTAGGATGGAATTTGGCATGCAATAAGCGCCATCAAGTCCCTGCCATTGTTCTGAGTCTTTCAGTAATGCTGACATAGAAGAGTGTTTGGCATATAGATCCTCGATAAACTGGTTGCTTTGACCTGGCATCAGTCCTTGGCCAAGGGACTGACTTGTGGTCTGACCTGGGCATGGTACCCTTCTCTCTCTTGCAGGATAATGGCACCCTCCATCACACGGGGCCTCCTGCTGCTGGCAGCCCTGTGCTGCCTGGTCCCCATCTCCCTGGCTGGAGTTCTCCACGGACACGCTGTCCAAGAGACAGATGATACATCCAACCAGGAAGCAGCCTGCCACAAGATTGCCCCCAACCTGGCCAACTTTGCCTTCAGCATATACCACCAGTTGGCCCATCAGTCCAACACCAGCAACATCTTCTTCTCCCCAGTGAGCATCGCTTCAGCCTTTGCAATGCTTTCCCTGGGAGCCAAGGGCAACACTCACACTGAGATCCTAGAAGGCCTGGGTTTCAACCTCACTGAGCTAGCAGAGACTGAGATCCACAGGGGCTTTCAGCATCTTCTCCACACTCTCAACCAGCCAAACCACCAGCTGCAACTGACCACTGGCAATGGTCTGTTCATCAATGAGAGTGCGAAGCTAGTGGATACGTTTTTGGAGGATGTCAAGAATCTGTATCACTCTGAAGCCTTCTCCATCAACTTCAGGGATGCTGAAGAGGCCAAGAAGAAGATCAATGATTATGTAGAGAAGGAAAGCCACGGAAAAATTGTGGATTTGGTAAATGTTCTTGACCAAGACACAGTTTTTGCTCTGGTGAATTACATATCCTTTAAAGGTAAGGTTGCATAATCAGCCTGAGCTTTGTTGCACAGAAACACCCCCTAAATATTCTCAAACACTCAGTTATTAACTTTCCTGGCAGCACAGAATGGGATATAGCCATGCGTCTCTGCATGTGTTATTCAATTTTCCACACATGACCACTAAAACTTCCTGTGATCAAATAGGGTTAGGGAATTATGGATTAAACAAAGTACCTTCATCTCTGCAGTACTTTTCAGAGCCCTAAAAGTCCTAACATGCACTGCAAATTCCTACCTGGGAGAGGTGTATGATATGCAGTGCCTCCCAAAATAGAGTCAGGAAAACAAATCCCGTATCACACTTCTGACAACGGCAGTGCAGAGGAAGTAGTCACACCTTTGGAGTCAGGAAGACCAAGATTCAAATCCTTCCTCGACCACATGAGCCTCTACGAAATTGAAATTCTGGATCCTATACCAGCCTTGCATTATTCTCCCCCAAAGTCTTTTCTGTAGACTGCCTGTTCACTTTAGACCCATTTTACAGATGGTAAAACTGAGGTTTGGGGCTTCCCAGGTGGCTCAGGGGTAAAGAATCCACCTGCCAATGCAGGAGACACAGGAGATACGGGTTTGATCCTTGGGTCAGGAAGCTCCCCTGAAGTAGGAAATGGCAAACCCTTCTAGTATTCTTGCCTGGGAAATCCCATGGACAGAGGAGCCTGGTGGTCTACAGTCCATGGGGTCGCAGAGTTGGACACGACTAAGCGTCACGCAAACCTGAGGGTCAGGAAGAAGTACCTCACCAGGGGGCTCAGGGCTCCCTCTTTCTCCCACTGTTACTAAACCTTCTCCCACCCTTGGCTGATGTCCACTGTCCCTTCTCTCCAGGAAAATGGGAGAAGCCCTTCGAGGCGAAACACACCACAGAGAAGGACTTCCACGTGGATGAGCAAACCACCGTGAAGGTGCCCATGATGAACCGCCTGGGCATGTTTGACCTCCGCTACTGCGACAAGCTCGCCAGCTGGGTGCTGCTGTTGGACTACGTGGGCAATGTCACCGCCTGCTTCATCCTGCCCGACTCGGGGAAACTGCAGCAGCTGGAGAACAAGCTCAACAATGAGCTCCTCACCAAGTTCCTGGAAAAGAAATATGCAAGGTGACCTCCCAAACAGACCGACCCGGGAGCTGCCACATCTGGTCCGGTCAGAGGGTTGGGGTGGGGAGCGCGGGTAGGCCCACCGACCATGGCCATGACTGCCGTGTGCCTGCTTCTGACAGAGGCCAGAATGCTTGCATGTGGTACCAGGCAGACTCCACGGAGGGCTGGTGCCCGGGAGTGAGGAGTGAAATTCCTGTCCTTGAGGACTTCCTCCCCAGCCGGGACACTGCCCTTTCCTGGTGGGCAAGGAGAGCAATGTCAACACATGTTGTTGGCAAACCCAGAAAGAAAAGGATGGGCTTCCTGGCAAAGGTGGCAGTTGAATGTAGATTACAGGATAGAATGTGAATTATCGGCTAAAAAGTCCACGGCAGGATCGGAGGTCAGGGGGGAACTGCTTGGAGAGGCTGAAAAAGCCAACACCCAGAGCAGGAAACTCCAGGACCTGTTTGAGGCTGGTTCTGACTCCTCTGTCATCAGATGAGTGTGGTTTGACCAGGTCCCACCATGCCCTCCATATCAGTGCCTATCTCTGTTTGTAAACATGTCCAGGCAAGGATGAGCAATTTTATCACATATAACATAAAACAAAGCTGGAAAGACAGAGAAGTACTCCTCACGCCCTCAACAAATATTGCTCAGGACCTGCCACCACACCCCACGGTCCCCTGGGATCCTGGCCGTGGAGGAGTCCCAGTCTAGGGGGCGCGACCAAACCCTACAGGGAGGTAGTGAGCACAGTCCTTCCAGAGGACACCCTGGATCCTCCAGGAGGCCTTCTGAGAGGAGGTGGCCCTTGAGAGGCTCTGCGGGACAAGAGGCTTGCTCTAATTCTAATATCCTCTGACCCTGGGCGTCGAGGAACTAAAAGTGGAATAAAGCAAAGTGTGAGAGCAGCGGGAGAGGGCGCCAACGGGAAAGAACCACCAGAAAAGCAAGCACTTTCAACTCCGTGACCTTTTTTTTTTTTCATGACAGTTCTGCCAATTTACATTTGCCCAAACTGTCCATTTCTGAAAAGTACGATCTGAAAACTGTCCTGGGCAAACTGGGCGTCACCAAGGTCTTCAGCAACGGGGCTGACCTCTCAGGGATTACCACGGATCAGCATCTGAAGGTGTCCAAGGTGAGCGTGTCCCCAACATCCGTAGGTCAGAAAGCGCGCGGGGCCGCAGCTCCGGGCCGAGGCTGGCAGGGGGACGCAGGCGCGCTTGCAGACTGAGGCCCTGAGAAGCACCGTCGCTCCACCAGGACGGCAGTGTGGTCGGCTGACAGGGGGAGGAGGCCTCACGTGCTCGGTGCGAGGTTGTCTCACGTACTCTCTGTCTCATCCTTGGCCAGGGACTCCCCTTTTTTGGGTCCCTACAACCCCCTACTTACAAAGAGACTTAGGCTCGGGGATTGCCAAGACCCTTTGGCCCCTGCATCTGAGACTCTGGAAACTACTGGCGAATCACTGAGTCTGAGTGATTTCAACCAAAGATGCCATTTATTCAGGGGAATGACAGGTGCCCAAGAAAAGGACTGTAGTTCAGTGACTGTGAGTGGAGTACTTGGGTGGGGACAAGGCACGTGAAAGTACCCCTCAGAGTTCTGCTCCCCAAGGAGCTTAGTATCTGGTTCCATGAATGAGAGGGGAGCCGAGGAGACAGAGGGCAGGAAAACCTTCTCTCCCCCGATTTCCCAGGAAGGCTGGCGAGGAAGAGGCAGGGGTACCCTCGTGGATCAGACAGAGGCCTTGCGAGCATCCCTTGTGTGTCTCCTGCAGGGCCACGTAGACAGGGATGGGAAAGAAAGGAGGCGAGGAGAGAGGCCAGAGGGTGCCCCGCCCTGGGCAAGGCTCTCCTCCTCGCCTGGCTCCCAGGCCTGGGTGGGGGCCTGTCTCCACTCACACGCGACCTTGTTGCCCTCCCCCTTCCAGGCGCTCCACAAGGCTGCTCTGACCATCGACGAGAAAGGGACAGAAGCTGCCGGGGCCACAATTCTGGAAGCCATCCCCATGTCCCTTCCCCCAGAGGTCGAGTTCAACAGACCTTTCCTCTACATCATCTACGATAGAAACACCAAGTCTCCCCTCTTCGTGGGAAAGGTGGTGAATCCCACCCAAGCCTAACTGCCTCTCGGGGTTCAGCCCTCCCCTCCCAGTCCAGGTCCCCCTCCTGCCTCCCCCTCCTCCCTCCACAGCATTAAAGGATGACTGACCTAGCCCGAGCTTGCGTGTGGCATGTCAATCCTTCGTCCTCTTGCATCTGTCTTTCTTTGCATCCCCAGGATGTGTGTGGAATCCAGGCCATGGCCCTCCTTCATGTGTCCACTGCATTAAGATGCCTTAGCATTTACACTGTCCAACCCTGTACTCAGCCAGGCTGAAAGGTTAGCTGAATCCCACAGCTTCCTGCCTCTCCCCCAGTCACTATGGAAAAGCTCCAGGCTTTCCAGTCTCCTCCAGGGTCCCCAAGGGGAAATCCCACAGACTCAGAATCCAGCCCGTGGCCCCCACCTCCACCCAGCGTCCACCAGGTCCCCCTACTCGGTGCCCCATCCCCACTGGTCTCACTGTGGCCCCCGCTTAGAGCCCCTCATGGGCAGGCTGCCACTGCTTGCAGAGCCTTCAGCTCACATGGGGACACTGGGCTGCGGCGTCTCCAGCAGCAGAGATAGGAATTGGGGCCTCTCCTTCTCCCACATCGTCACCTGAGCCAGGCTTGGACACTGACCACTCGCAGGTCTTTCCTGTCAAAGGCTCTGGTTGGAGTTTGCAGGGGCCCTTTCCCATGAGGCTGGACTGAGAACACATATTTCTGTCCTTGTCACTCCATCTCTGCACCAGGACCCTCAAACATGCCATTCCTAGAGGCAGGTCTCATCTCCCCAGTGAAGAGAAGGTCCCAGTCTGTATCACTTGTTCACGCTCCCCCAGGATATCAGCCCCCCACCAAGACCATTTACCCTACGCCCTCTTGTATTCCCTAATCACATGGCCAAGGTGCCCTGGATGGCTCTGGAAAGTCCTGACAATGACTCCTAAGTCACAGGAGGGGAAGAGCAGACCATCGAGCCCCAGTCACCCTGCCCCCGCCCTCCCTTAGCCAAGCTGTGTCAGGGACCGCATTTCCACTTGTCTTGCTCCTGTGTTCCTGCCCGCAGCCCTTCCTGTGGTCTCTGGCTGGAAACCACAGCTCCCAGGCCACAGTTAAAAGATGTCCCAGGAGCAGACCCTTTCACTGAGGGCCACATGGCTCCTTCCCACCCTCCAAGGCCCTACAGGAGGGCTGCTGCAGTCAGAAGGCCTGGCTGGACCCCAGCCTGAAGGAGCCAGCTCCCCAAACTCTCATGGGAATACACTTGTCCCGGAGAAGTACGGCCCCATCCTACACAAATCCAGTGATCACCATCTAGCTTCTCATTGGGATGAGTGCACACCTAAAGAACAGGCTTGAGTCAATCAAATGTATACCGTTTAAGTCAAAAGGGCCACATCTGTGCAATTTCACAGACCTGAACAGGATGGATGAAGATCCGACCATTTCCCAAATAAGCCTCAATCTCTTGAGTTTCCTCTGCCTAGAGACTTCGACTTCTACAACTTCCATTAATGACATGACTATCACCCAGCACCCAGAATAAGGCCAGACCTGAGGGTCTAAAGAACTTGGATCAAGTTCAGACTCTGCCACTTCCCAGCTGTGTGATTTTAGCAAAATCATCAAACCTCTCTGATCCTCAATATCCTCGTCAAAACATGTCTTGAAGTGCTGTGAGGTTCACATCAGAGTGCTAAAACAGCTTTTTAAAGGAAAACAGAGGAGGGCGCTGGTGTAAGGGACAAGCTTTGCTGACTCTCTGAGCTCCCTCTCTAAGCCTGGCTGCCTGGGAGGAGCTGCGCAAACATTTTCTTGTTGAATCCTCAGGGCAGCCCTGTGATGTTGGGAGTGGAGTTGCTCTGCTCTGCCGTGTGGCGTTTCGTGCAGATGAAGAAACTGAGGCTCAGAGAGGCTTGTCATCTCTTTCAAGGTCATGGCAAGTGGCAAAGTCGGCTTTAGAGGCTCTCCTCATTTCTCCAAACCCCACCGCATCATACCAGAGGGACTACACAGGTCTTGTTCAGTCACTCAGTCCTGCCTGACTCTGCAACCCCAGGGACTGCAGCACATCAGGCTTCCCTGTCCTTCACTGTCTCCCGGAGTTTGCTAAAACTCATGTCCATCATGTCGGTGATGCCATCCAACCATCTCATCCTCTGTCATCCCCTTCTTCCCCTGCCTTCAATCTTTCCCAGAATCAGAGTGTTTTGAAATGAGTCAGTTCTTCATATCAGTGGCCAAAGTATTAGAGCTTCAGCTTCAGCATCAGTTCTTCCAATGAATATTCAGGGTTGATTTCCTTTAGGATTGACTGGTTTGATCTCCTTGCTGTCCAAGCGACTCTCAAGAGTCTTCTCCAGCACCATAATTTGAAAGCATCCATTCTTTGGCACTCAGCCTTCTTTATGGTCCAACTCTCACATCCGTATATGACTACTAGAAAAACCATAGCTTTGACTATATGGATCTTTGCCGGCAAAGTGATATCTTTGCTTTTTAATAGGCTATCTAGGTTTGTCATTGCTTTTCTTCCAAGGAGCAAGGCATCTTTTAATTTCATGACTATAGTCACTATCCACAGTGATTTTGGAGCCCAAGAAAATAGTCTGTTACTGTTTCCATCGTTTCCCATTTATTTGCCATTAAGTGATGGGACTGGATGCCATGATCTTCGTTTTTTGAATGTTGAGTTTTAAGCCAGTTTTTTGACTCTCCTCTTTGAACCTTCATCAAGAGGTTCTTTAGTTCCTCTTCGCTTTCTGCCATAAGGGTGGTTTCATCTACATATCTGAGGTTATTGTTATTTCTCCCAGAAATCTTGATTTAAACGACCATTATCTCTGCTACTGTGGGCAAAAATCCCTTAGAAGAAATGGAATAGCCCTTACAGTTGACAAAAGAATCTGAAATGCAGTACTTGGGTACAATCTCAAAAATGACAGAATGATCCTAGTTCGTTTCCAAGGCAAACAATTCAGTATCACAATAATCCAAGTCTAGGCCCAAAGCACTAATGCCACAGAAGCTGAAGTTGAACAGTTCTATGAAGATCTATAAGACCTTCTAAAAGTAACACCAAAAAAAGATGTCCTTTTCATCATAGGGGAATGGAATGCAAAAGTAGGAAGTCAAGAGATCCCTGGAGTAACATGCAAGTTTGGTCTTGGAATACAAAATGAAGCAGGGCTAAGACTAACAGAGTTTTGCCAAGAGAACACACTGTTCATAGCAAATGCAGGACTCAGGCAGCGCTAAATTCAGTTCAGATCAGTTCAGTCACTCAGTTATGTCCAACTCTTTGTGACCGCATGAACCACAGCATGCCAGGCCTCCCTGTCCATCACCAACTCCCGGAGTCCACCTAATCCCATGTCCATCAAGTCAGTGATGCCATCTAACCATCTCATCCTCTGTCGGCCCCTTCTCTTCCTGCCCTCAATCTTTCCCAGCATCAGGGTCTTTTCAAATGAGTTAGCTCTTTGCATCAGGTGGCCAAAGTATTGGAGTTTCAGCTTCAGCATCAGTCCTTCCAATGAACACCCAGGACTGATCTCCTTTAGGCTGGACTGGTTGGATCTCCTTGCAGTCCAAGGGACTCTCAAGAGTCTTCACCAACACCACAGTTCAAAAGCATCAATTCTTTGGCTCTCAGCTTTCTTTACAGTCCAACTCTCACATCCATACATGACCACTGGAAAAACCATAGCCTTGATTAGACAGAACTTTGTTGGCAAAGTAATGTCCTTGCTTTTTAATATGCTATCTATGTTGGTCATAACTTTCCTTCCAAGGAGTAAGCGTCTTTTAATTTCATGGCTGCAATCACCATCTGCAGTGATTTTGGAGCCCAGAAAAATAAAGTCAGCCATTGTTTCCACTGTTTCCCCATCTATTTCCCATGAAGTGATGGGACCAGATGCCATGATCTTAGTTTTCTGAATGTTATGGTAAATTCTTCCTCAAACCATGAGGAGTGCTGGGGCCCATGGCACTCACCAAGATGCCTCTGCAAGGAAAAGAGCCCCAGGATCTGCTGGAATTCTTCCCACACAAGGTTAAAGAGCTCACAGCCTTGAGCAAGCAACATGGCATGCTCCTCAACCCTGACGTTCTGGGGGAGTATAGGGTCAGATACAAGGGCCACTTGGAGTTCCTGAGAGTTCAGGGAATTTAGCTAAGATACAATCATTTCACAAAAAAAATGGCCCATTGTTACATAAGTCTGAACTCTGGTTGACCGAGACCCGGTTAAAACTAGCTTAAAACCCCAGACTGGATTTCATTGGTGCATATGGGAATCAACAGGGTCCACTCCCTGGGGGCAGGGGAAGGGGCACCCCCACAGGGCCAAAGGTCAGGGCAATTTTGTCACAAGGGAGACAAGTGTGTGCCACTAGCCAAGCAGGACAGCCATACACCTCAGTGTTGCCTATTCTCTAGAGTTTTTAGATGTAATCACTGCCTAGTCTGAACCTCAGAATTGGTCCTTGAAGGACGCAGCTGGGAATCGTTATCCCCAAGGTACAGATGGGGAAACGTGGATCCAGCAGTTTGGAAGATCTGCCCAGCACAGGCCTGAAGGCAGGTCCGCCCTTCTTCAGTTGGGGCTGCCCTCATGCCATCTATTCCCCAGTGCATCTCAGACCTTAGGAAGAATTCCAACCTGCTGGTCCACATAGGGTCTAGCTCACTGCCCCAGCACCAGCTGAAACACAGCTGCTGGGGTTCTAGGCTGCTCTGGATCCCCAGGCAGGGACTCAGCTCTGCCCTGAGACAGATGGGCAAGACACAGCACGGGCTCAGACAGGGCCAACGTGGAAGGGACACTGACACCTCCCCATCAGCGGCAGGGGAAGGAAAACATACCCATCAGATTTTCATCATAAATGCATGAATGTTTAAGGTTAAGTGCCGGCTCTGCCCTCACTGGTGGGGTCATCTGAGCCTCATTCATAGGTAAGGATGCGTCTGGCTTCTCACACATGTGTGCTAGTCTAGAAATGGAGAATACTGATTACATGTTGATTTCCATTCCAGGAGATCTCCTGATCCTCTCCACAAGTCCAAGGGATGGGCATGAGCTATATAAGAAAAAGCAAACCTTTTCTGGATATCTGTGCTCCCTGG